GCCGCGGAGCCGCCTGCGCCGCGCTCGGCCCCGCGGCCCTGCGGTAGGTAGCCCAGCGCGCGCCATGGCCCGGGCTCGCAGCACCCCTGCCCGAGCAGKGCTCGCTCAGCACACACACAACGCTGCAGCTGCACTAAGGGCTCGCTAGAAGAGATCAGTCTCTACTGAGCAATAAATAGCACTGCTGTCCTGCATGCTTTATTGTGGCCCTGCCCTTTCACACCAAAAGCTCTTGGGCAGCGACCATGCCTTTCATAAAGGCCTCATCCAAGGGCCTGCAAAATAATCCTCAGTGAGGTGTTGTCATGCACAGTGCCCCTTGTACCTCCTTGGCACCGAGCTGGGACAGGCTGGGAGCACGCAGGATTGCACCATGTGTTGCCTGTAAAGTGCAACTTGTTCCATTCCTCCAGGCTGATTAATGTGGGCATCCACCTTCTGCAAGATGAGGAGCAGGAAGTTCGGCATGAGGCCGCCAACTTTGCCAGCCTGGTGTGCCAGCTGCCGGGAGAGCAGGTCCAGGAGGGCAGCATCTCTGTGCAGGCCAACACAGGGCTCCTGGGCCTCCTGCAGCTCCTCCTGGAGAGGTTCGGGGACCACCCGGAGACCTTTGGCTCATTGCTGCAGCACCTGCCCCTCCTGGATGTCAGCARCATCTTGGAAGAGCTGGAAACCAACAAGTGAGTTGCCAGATCTCTGAAAAGGATACAGAGGAGGAAAGCTGCACACGTGTGGGACTGCATCAGTGCAGCAAGCCAAGCTCTCAGAGAGTGGGGTCAGGTCCAGGGTGAGGTCCAATGTCAAGACTGGGGTTGGGCCCAGGGTAAGGTCCCAGATTGAGTTCAAAGTAGGATCCAGGGTAAGGTCTGGCATCAGGTTCAGGATCACTTCCTGCATCAGGTCCAGAGTGGGGTCTGGGGTCAGTGTGGGGAGTGGGGCCCAGGTTGGATCTGGGTTAAGTTCCAGAGTCAGATCTGGCGCTTTTCAGGGTCAGAAAGAGGGGCCCGGGGTGCTGTGTGGCTGAGGTTCCCTGGCATCAGGCAGCATCGCATGGCCCTGAGCTCCACGCGTGTCCTGCCTTCCCTTGCAGAGGCAGCAGCCTGTACAAGGACGACGAAGCCAACGTGTTTGCGGAGCCGGCTGTGCTCGCRCAGCTGCTGCTCCCCTTCCTGCTGCAGCTCCTCGAGAAGGTCCCCCGCGGGTCGGYGCTCAGCTGGCTGCAGGCCGCGGGCCCCGGCATCCTGCGGGACCTGCACTCCTGCAAGCGCCGGTGCAGCCCAGGTAGGCGGGCGCTGCATCCCTTCCCCAGGCACCCGCGAGGGAGGCGTGAAGCCCTTGTGAGAGGAGCCGTGGCCTCCTCGCCCCCACAAGGCCCCTGTGCCYGGAGGAGGAAGCACCACCACACTCACCTCTCCTCTTCTTTCCGCTGTCTCCCCGCAGAGGCCGTTGGCCCCTTCTGGATGAAGGCGCTGGGCAGCGCCAGGCTGCACACGGCCGTGGCCGTGCTGCTGGCCAGGGCCAGGCTGCTGGCGCGGGCGCTGGACGTGGTGCCCGGGGGCGCCGCGGGGCTGGGCTGCAGCGCCCACGAGCTGCGCCAGGAGCTCGCGCAGCTGCAGGGGCTGCTGGCTGCGCACGGGCTGGCCCGGGGCAACGGGCCGAGCGAGACGGGCCCGCTGTGCGGCGCTGCCTGACGGCTCCGGGCAGCGGGTGGCACCAGGCCGAGCGCCACGGACAGCACCGCGCTCTGCTCGCCCTGCAGAGCTGCTCGTTGGTGTGTGACCCAGGGGAACCTACGTGGGAAGCGGCCGCTCCGCTCTCGTGCCCACACATCGTGCCTGCGCTGCAGCGGCTGCCACCTGATCCCCATCGCCCAATTCCTGCAGCTCCTTCGTAGCCCTCCGTCCTGGAGCAGCAGCACGGGGAGTCCTCGGCCTTTGGGCCCACTCTGCTCTCCGCAGACTTTGTGGCTTCTGTTGCACTTTTCCCACCCTTTTTAACCCAGGTTTTTGGTCAAATTAACCAGGTTTAGGTCATTTCTATGAGGCTGGTGACCCAGTTGTGGCCAGCCTCGGCCTTTTTCATGAATAAAGAGACCAAAAGCATCCACAGCATCGAAGCCTTTTGCTCTGCCCATCGGGGAGGGAGGCCGGGAGGGCCCTGCGGGCAGCGTGGGGTTGGAGGCCGGAGCTCGCACAAGGCCTGCGAGGGCAACGTGGCACCTGGTGAGCTGGAGAGCAGGGTGACAACCCGCCCACCACGAAACCCTTTCCTTGCTTTCRGCTTCCATTTTATTGCCAGCTCACAAGCCAAGAAGGACAGAGCCCTTCACACTCACTCCCCGCAGTCCCGGCCGTGGATCCCTGCAGCCCCATACAGCCCCACACAGCCCTGCACGGCCCCGCACTGCGCAGCGCCTCCGTGCTCCCGCCTCAGGCCCTGCACAGCCGCCCCTTCCTCCCCGCGCGGCTCCGCTCCCCAGGGGTACCGGACACCAGGGCCGCGGGCGGCACCGCTCCCGCCGGCCACAGCGGCGCCCGCGAGGCCTCGACAGCTTCTGCTTCCTTGCTGCCTACAAGCAGGGCCTGGGCGTCCCTCGCTTGTGCCCTGGGCAAAGCCTACGGAGCAGCGRAGAGAGCGGAAAGGAGGTGTTAGCTGCAGCGAGCGGCTCTCTGAGGGGCAGAGCACMGGTCGGGAGCCGGGCGGTGGGACGTACCCCTTCCCCAGCTCCGGGCCCGGTTCCGGAGGGCCGCGGTGCGCGGGGCCGGGCGGCTACACGAAGAGCAGCGAGCGCGGGGGGCAGGCGCAGGGCTCCCGCAGCTCCTCCCGCACCCAGGCGCCCTGGCAGCCGCTCACGGCCGCCGCTGTCCAGAATGTCCTGYGGGGCGACAGCGCTGCAGCCCCCGAAGCCGCCGGAGCCCCCGGAGCCGCCGGCACCCACCTGAGGCCGGGCAGCCCGTCGCCGCTGCAGCGCGGCCGCCCGCCGCCGGCGCCCCGGCACTCCACACACACGCGCTGCTCCCGCCGCAGCCGGCTGCTCCAGGCGCTCCGGCGGCACGCGGCACCCACTGCCGTCAGGCGGAAATACCCGCAGGAGCTGCAGGAGCCGGCGGTGAGGGGCAATCCTGCCTCCTCRGCACCCACCGCATCCCCTTGTCCCATCCCACCCCGCCTACCTTAATGCTCCCTCTCCTGGCTGCGCATCCGCCCGGGGCCGTTTGAAGGAGTCGGGCAGGATCTTGGCCACGTCTGTTGGCGAAGCGGCGTCAGGGTGAGGAGGAGGCAGCGTGGCCGCGGCGCAGGGCCCCCCGCACACACGTGGTACCTTTGGCCGTGCGGCAGCGCAGCTGGTCGCCCAGGCAGCCGCGGCGCTGCTTGAGGTCGGGGCAGGGCTGCCCGCCGTGGCGCGGCGGGACGGCGACGTGGCGCCCGCGCGCCTGGCTGCCCACGCCGCACGCCGAGCTGCAGCCGCTCCAGGGCCCCCAGGGCCCCACCACGCAGTCCAGCGCTGCGGCGCGCGGAGGAAGAGCCTGAGCGACGGCAGCGACACTCCCCGCACCGAATGTTTTATCTCCCTTTTTTTTCCCCTCTTGCTCCCTGGCATGCACAGCCTTTTGGCCCAAGGTTATGAACAAGCAACAGCATCTCCAGGAGCCCCCCGGGAGGCCTGAGACCACCCCAGGGACCAGCCATGTGCCAGCGCACGGATGGATGAAGTAAGTGCCCACAGGTCCCTCATTGCAGCCTCTCTGGGGCTGCATCGCAGGGTCCAGGCCACATCTACCCCTGGCCCTGTGGCTGCAGCCCCATCTCTGCCAGGGCTGCTGCTGAAGCAACTGGCTTCACCCACCGYGTGCGGCCCCATCCACCCGCGTGCGGCTGCTGGGGTCAGCTGCGCTGGGAGCCACCTAATCCCCATGGATTAGGGAGGGCTGACGGGCACTGTTTCCCGGGCTGGCGGTGGCCACAGGGGCGCCCAGCCCCTCGCTCCGGCCCCTGGTGCTGCTGCAGCGCATGCAGCAAGAGAAGCCAGCGCTGTTTGGCCTGACGCTGCCCTGCACRGGGGGCTTCGCCTCTGACACCAACTGCGAACACCCCACAGGACCCCCACATTGCATGGGGATTTTTTAAAAAAGGAAAAAAAAAAMCAGAACATGGTCAGGCTGCTGCTCCGCTTGCCCCGGACAGACCCCCCGTGCACAGCCCATCTCGCCGCCTYGCACCCGGCTGCTGCCGGGCAGGAACCGCAGCGCGCAGCAGAAGCGGAGGCCGCTCTGGCTCTGCAYGGAGCTGGGTGTGGAGCTGGGTGCCATCCCGCTCTCCCCCCGCTTTGCCCGYGCCCAGGGGCTGCCCGGCCGCGCGCCGCAGCGCTCACCGGCCTGGCGGCAGGCCGCCCGCTGGTCCGCGCAGCAGTCGCGCGTCTTCTCGCAGTACGTGTCGCAGTAGCAGCGGGAGCCCCCGCCGCCCGGCGCCCAGCACTCGTTGTTCCTGCCGGGGCAGCAGCGGCGCCCGCAGCCCGGCCCGGYCCCGGCCCCGGCCAGGCAGGCGGCGGCCACCAGCCAGCCCAGGCAGAGCAGCCGCCACGGCATCCCGCTGCCCCCGGCCTGAGCCCGTGTCCTGACACAGCAAAGGCTGCGTGGGGAGGGACGGCGATGGACGGGGCGGGACGGAGCGGCCCGTGAGCGGCAGCGCRGAGGCTCGAGCACAACTGCACCGAGCAGGTTTGTGCAGCTTCGTGGAAGGGAAAAAACAGCACTTTTTTTTTTCAATGAGCCAACAATCCAGATTGCCCCCCAGGATCCCCCCAGCCCCATCCATCCCCCCAAGGCAGGGGTTAAGTGCAGAGCCAGGGTGCCCAGTACGCAGAACAGCCCAGGGGACACTGCCCGGGGTGACGCTGCCTGCACCAGGCAAGCTCCTGAAGCCGGACTGAGTTTATTCAAGTTGCGAATGTAAAACAGAATAAAAAAAAAAATCACAATCTTCACTGGCTTACAAGCAGAAAGCCCAAAAGTAAATAAGCTCCCAGGCTTTGCCGCCTCCTTCGCCCTCCCCAGCACTAGTGTTAAGGCTGCATTTGTTACTGACAACACAGGAAAGGAGCACAAGAGCCAGTCCCGGTCCCGCTCCCGGCGCCTTCTCCTCCTCCCGTGGGAAGTTTTGGCACGAATGTGGAATGGGGGCGCTCYGGGCCCAGGGCGCCGGGCGGGCTCCGGCCCCTCCGACTGCAGTGCAAGTGTTAGAGGTCAGCGTAAGGCTCCATAAGCTACTGGAGGCGCCTGGCGCCGCGGGGGCGGCGGGAATGTGCAGAGGGGACAGCGGGGACAGGAGGGGGCCCAGGGCGCCCTGGCGCCCGAGTGTGAGCCGTGGCGCTGCCTCCGCCCCGTGTCTCTGGTGCAGTGTAAACATGAGGCGCTGCGGGGCCCRGCCGGCACCACCGGCCCAGCCCGGGAAGGGAAAGCAAGGAGGGGCCGTGCAGCTTGGGCAGGGTCTGCTCTGCAGCCCGAGGGGCCGAGATGCTCCTGGCCACAGCCGGGGAGAGCCCCGAGGTGCTGGGAAAGGAGGCGCTTCCCCGGGGAGCCCCGCGGTTGCCGCAACCATCCCGCAGGCCGCTCAGGGCTCGCAAGCCCAGCATGGCCTGGAGGTGCTGGAGGGCCAAGCGCTGCTACTGGGAGCCCCTGGCAGCTGCAAAACCCCTGCAGGGACAAGGTGCCCCGGAGAGCTCACAGGAGACTCTCTGGCCACCCTGCAAACGGCTCCCGGCGCAGCGTGGGCTCTGCTCGAGGGCGAACCCTGGCCACGAGCACCTCGCTGGCGGGGACCGCGGGCTCGGCCGCCCCCCGTGCCTGCCCTCGGAGGCTGCTTGTGCCAAGGGCAGGAAGGAAGGGCTTGTCTGGGGCTGGTGCTTCCCTCGGGGTGGGAAGCAGCTTGGTGCAGCGTCGGGCACTGGGCTGCACGCAGACACCTCCTCCCTCCCTGCTCCTTTTATCCCACAATTAATAATTTAAACCGCTGCACAACTCCTTCCTATAAATACAGATCATCGGGCTTGGCAGGGGAGGGCTGGAGGGGCTGGGGGGCTTTCCCAGGCTGTGTCCGTGCGCGGGAGGGCTTGGACCCTTGGCGGCGCCGGGGCAGCTCCGTCCTGCAGCCGCGGCCCCGCGGGGATAGAGCGGCGCGGCCGCCCGGGCCCGCCCCGGCCTCACTCCGTTTTCCACACCTTGTTGAGGAACTTGACCACCTCGTCGTAGATGACGAAGACGATGGCCACGTCGAGGCAGACGCGGCCCAGGCGAGGCACCGTGCCCTTGTAGAACCTGCCGGGGAGGCGGCCGTGAGCCCCTTGCCCCACGCAGCCCCACGCAGCCCCCCGCGCCGCCCCGCTCGCCCGCCCCGGCTGTGGGYACTTACGCCAAGGGCCCTTCGTGTTTCATGATCTGGTAGGCGCAGTCCCAGGTGCTTTTGTACTTGTGCGCCTCGAGGCCCTGTGAGAGAAGGAAGCGGGGTCAGAGATTTGGAGCTGGGGAGGGCCCAGGATGGATTTGGGGAGACACACAGGGAGCAGACAGGAACTGATCCCATCCACCATTAYGGGACACCTATCCCAGCAGAGATACAGTCTATGTCCTCTGCCAAAGGCCATTTGGATTAAATGTTCAGAGCTCCACAGGCCCAAGAGGACAGTGTGCACTGCTGCAAGACTCAGGGCCCTTCCCCAGGCTCCCATCTCTCCACTGCGCTTTCCGAATTCAGGCCCTGGAGCAGCAAACTGGCCCCAGGTTCAGAGAGGGGCTGCAGCCCTCAAGAGCTGGCAGGGTCAGTCCCAACCCCAGAMAAAGCACTTTGGGGCTCTAACCTCTCCCTTTTCCTGCCCTGTCCAGCTAAATACCCTGCAGGAGAGGGGAAGCAGGAGCGACGGGGCCTCCGCATCCACGACGCCGTACCTGCATCCTGGTTTTCACCACGTCCAAGGGGGTATTGCCAAAGACACTTGCAGCTCCTGCAAGGGCTCCAAAGACCCCTGTGACAAAGGGGTTGATGACCTTGTTGGGATCATCCCCTGCAAAAGAGGAGAGGGTAAGGAGCAGTGTAAGGCAAGGAGTGAAGGGCTGAGCACTAACACTAGGAGATGCAATAACAAGCACGGCAGAAGCGATGGGAGCCCAAGCATGCGAGGGGCACAGGAGGGTGATGCTCCAGCTGGGAGCCCCAGCGCAGCTCAGCCCCACGAGCTGGAGACACCCCTTCCCCCAGCCTTTATCTGCCTCCCCTTTACAAAAGGCCAAGAGGAGAAGAAGCTTTATGGAAACTCCAACCATGTTCCCAGTGGATGGGCTCAGGTTGCTGGTGGGCACAGCCAGGGTGGCCTAKGGAGGCAGGTCAGGGGGGACGGAGGTTCAGTACCTTTGTACCAGTTCTTGAGGGACGTCATGACGAAGAAGCGAATGGCCTGGTTGGAGCCTTGCTTGAGCACGGTCGCGGTTAAGCCCTGGTAGGTCCCCTTCAGCCCTGCAGCAAAGGAGGGCGTCAGAGGGGAGCCCCAACCTTGAGYCCATCATGACCCCAGCTGTCCCACTCCAATGAGGTCCCATGTGGCGCCACCACGTGCTCGGATGGACATGAAACCTCCTCATCAGCCTCCCCACACTGCCAGGCTGCTCACAGCCAGGTTGAAGCAGGGACAGCTCCGAGCCACAGGGCTCTCCCTTGGGAGGTGGCTCCCAGCCCTATGGACGGCAGCGGGTCCCAGCCCATGACCCCTTTCTCCTGCCCCTCAGCTCGGGGGCACCCGGGGACGCGGCTCCCTAGGGACTCACCCTGTTCCCGGACGATCTCCCTCACGCCGTGGAAGAAGCCGCGGTATTTCGGCTGCGGGGAGCACTGGTCGTGGATGAACTTCACCTGCGGGGAGACAAGATGTTGGTCCCAGCAGAAGGGAGAGGAGAAGCGTCCCTGCGCTGATGAGGCTGCCTCCCGCCTCTGGATGGGCTCTGAAGACAGTTCTGAAACCAGTGAAACCTGCAGGACTGGAAACAGAGGCCAACAGCATCACATCCCTGTGCAAAGCAGGAGCAGGGACACAGGAGGGAAAGGACAGCCCCGCTGGGCAGAACAGACCCGCGTCTCCCCTCATGTTCCCAGGGATCCACCACGCGGGGGCACCCGAACCCAGCAGACCCCCAGCTCCAAGGATCCATCCAAGCCCCAGGCTGGGTTTTTCCAGGCAGAGGTGGGAGAAATGTCAGAGCAGCATCCACAAGCTGCATCCCGACAYGGGATCCCTTCCATTTGCTCCATCCCAACACAGGACCCCTCAAGCTCCCCRGCCACCAGCGCTGGCGAGCACCAAGGGGACCCCATAGTGCCAGGCAGCTGCTCTTGCTCCTACCTTCACGGTCTCCATGGGACACACGACCACCACGGCCTCGGCCACGCCGGCGCCCAGCCCGCACACGAGGCCCCGCGTGCTGTCCAGCTTGCCCTGCTCGTCCCTCATCTGGTTGCTGAGGAACTCGAACATGCCGAACCTGCGGAGAAGGACACAGTGCCAATCCTGTGGGCACTGGGGCACRGGCTGAAGATGCACCGAGTGCTGCCTGTGGGCAGCCCAGCGGCCACACATTACTGCAGGGGACAGCAGGGCTGCTCTTGCCAGGTCCAGCAACGGCCCATCCTGACCTGCTGCCGTGTGAGAGGACAAGCAGGGATCCACAGACACTCATCCGCCACTGCTGAGAAAAAATCCCTCMCAGGGCAATGGGGCTGAGGGCTGGAATGACTCGCAGGTGGCCCCGCAGGGGCTCCACCGGCCCACATGGGACACCCCGTCCACGCAGGGGACACCTACCTCACGGCGGCCTTGGGGATGGAGCCGTACACGAGYGAGCTGAGCCCCCGGTAGAGCCCACGCACACCATGGTCACGGACCGTCTGCTTCACGCAGTCACCTGGGGCAGAGCACACGAAAAGAGGCGTCACCCACCACGCGAGCACTGCTGGGGCGCCCACCCCTCGCATCACGGGGCCCAAGAGCCCCAGAGAGGCCCGGGAAGGGAGATCCTGGTGTCCGGGGCCCCACCGAGATCCCCCTGGCCGAGCAGCCCACAGCGCCCGGGCTCTGCACTCACCGATGCCCTTGTAGCGCGGAGGATTCGCCTTCTCATCCAGCTGCAGCTGCGTCTTCACGTACTCAGTGGGGAATGTAATGCAGATCTCGATGCCCCCCGCGAGGCCGCCTGCAAGAGAGCGCGGGGACGCCCGGGCTCACGGCTGCACCAGCGGCGCCGGCGCCGCTCGGACACGCAGGCTGCAGCGCTCTGAGCCCAGGCAGGGCCAGGTTTCCGTGAGCAGGGAGCAAACAAGCCTCTGCTCTGGGGACTGCTCCTTGAGCTGCTTCCCAGTGGGGCCCCACACTCCACTCGGCTGCAGGTGAGCGGATGGATGAGAGGCGGGAAAGGGACGGATCCACAGCAGCAATTTCCAAGTCCTACGGCAAGGCGCCTCTGTCCCACTTGGAGCCCCAGCAGCACGGAGCCCACATGGGGTTTTACAAAGAGGATGACAAGGAAGGCATTTCATGGCCTGCCAG